ATGTGATGAATTATTTGAAGCTGAATTGTCGAATTGATTTTCTTCTTTTTTTACTACTTCTTTATCTGCCAAGGAGGAAGAACCAATTTGAGTTAACTTTTCGCAAACATTTTCTTTTTCTTCTTGTGAATCATTTTTCGATATGGCTTGTGAATCAATTTCTTCTGGATTCATTTTTAATGTGTCTTCGTCTTCATTGACTGGTTCTTTGATCGGGAGTGACGATGAATCAGTCATAAGTAAAGGAACAGTTGTACTATCTGTAATATTTTCAGTGTGTTCTTCTACTATTAAATGTAATGAATTATTTGAATATGAAATAACACATACGTTTTCTATTTCTTTTAATTCCTCTTTATCTGCTAAGATCGAAGAACCTATTGGAGTTAATTTTTCAGAAATAATTTCTTTTTCTTTATTATCCAAATTATGTGTTTCCATGCTTTTTATTTTATATTTAATATTTAGTATTTCATTTTCAGTAAAGTTGTCATTTAAATTATTTTCTTTTTGTACTGGATTGGATTCTTCCATTACTAAAATTTTTATTTCATCTAATATTGGTTCATAGCATATATTATTTTGCAATACTATTTTTGAGTCTTTTGTTGATAAAATTATTGCGGCGTTAGACTTTTGTGTTTCTGATGTATCTATTTCTATTTTAACTATTGAGATACCATTTATGACTATTTTGGTAGGTGTGGTTTCGTTGTTTTTCCAACTTCGTCTTTCTTCAATAATAATTTCTCTTATTTTAGTTGGTGGTAACTTAATTGTTGTTTCTCTTTGTGCAGTGAATGATTTAGCATCTTTCATTTTGTTCTTATTTTGTGTAATCACTATTGAACTTGTAATTTTCTGTTCATCTGATATGATTTTGCTATTATTTGATATTGCTTTATTTAAAGTGTTGGATGTCATTTCATTTTCATTAGTATATAGATCTTCTAAATTTTCATTTATAATTTTTTTTTCAAAAGTTTCTGATGTATTATTTATATTTTCAACAATCTCAGGTGCTGCTGGTTCTCGGTTTACTTTATTATTCTGTTCTTCAGTGTCATTTTTTGTTTCATTTGATATTTTCGGTTTACTTACAGTTTTTAATTCTTTTGAATTTTCATTGTTTTTCGATGCATCTTTAAAAACCCACATTGTCTTAGCTTCTGTTGTAGTTTCTAGTTTTTTAGTTGAAGTTATTTTATTGTTTAAATTTTTAGTATCAATTAGATACGGAACTTCCATAAAATTATGTTCTTCTATAGTAGTATTTTTGGATAAATTCGAAAATTGATTGTTTAATATTTCAT